CCGAACCCCCAGAGATTATATCTGTTTGATATTTTAGGCTGAGAAATCAGAAGATGATTTGTTATGCAGCAATAGATAACTGTTATAGCAAATAGGAGCTTCACAAATGAATGCACTGAGGGTTAAAGAAAGGAGCGATGACATCCACACAGAAGGAGCACAGACAATAAGAAAGTCTCCAAATGAGAGGTATCTCTCAGAGGACTGGGCAAATACATGCATATGGAGAAGAGAAGGAGAGATTCCAGGAAAAGAACAAAGTGCCAGAACAGTGCAAGTCAAATTCAGGGGCTGAGGATGATCTCAGTTATCTGTGTCTATGTTGTGAGTAAGAAACTCCTGTGGGGCTGGGCGTGGTGGCGCACGCCTGTAATCCCAGCACTGGGGAGGCTGAGGCAGGAGGATCGTTGCAAGTTTGAGACCAGCCTGGGCTACAAAGTGAGCTCAAGGTCAGCCTGAACTGCACAGTGAGACCCTGTCTCAAAAAGACAAAAAGAGAGAGAGAAAGAAAAAAAGAAAAGTCAGTCCTGTGGGATATGAGATAGGCAAAGCGGGTGACACTGAAAAGCAGAGCACCCTAGCTTCCTCATTGTCACCCAAGTCCCGAAGGACAGCTATTTTCTACTAGGGAGTCCTTGGACCACTGCTCTTTCTTCATGGAATTACTTTGTGAGCTAATCCATATCTAACATTTTAACCAATTTCTACTGAATTCTGTAAGATCCAACCCAGACCTAACTGGCGATTTCATCTCACCTCTCCAATTGCTTACCAATCTTCTTCACCTGCACATGCTGCCAGCACCTCAAAAAATTCATCTTCTGAATTCATCTTCCCTCCATCCTCCCTTAACTGACCACCTTAAATCTCAAAGATGGCCCTGCTACCCTGGACCACTCATCTGAGTATAGCTGTGGTAACCCAAGAAGAAAACAAATATCATGGGATGTTTCCAAGTACAGAATTTCATAGCACTAAGTGGAAGTCAATCCATACTGCTACTTTTAGAGTTAGCTACCGTTCAATCCCCACCAAAGAATATACATTTGTAACATACACATGTGCAAACAGGTTCCATCTATGAAACAATTATGTTTGATCACAACTAAAAAAGCAGCAACCTTCCTTTAATTTAGATCCTGAGTGCAGCTGTTCCCAGGTGTACATGTTGTATTTATACTGGACTAGAGAGATGAGATTGTAGAGCAGCTTTGACCTTCAGGCTAAAGACTATGTCATCACTTTGCAAGCTCTCTGCTATTTATTGGTGGGTCTCCTCAATTTTGCGTCCTCATTGTCTTTTGTCTTCAGGACCTGCCTTATAACCAGGCTGTGCTACACCCAGAGGTGCTTAACCTGGCCACAAATTAGAATACCCTGATTAGCTTTGACAGACTCCTCATCTGGGCCTCACCCAAGACTAATTAAACTAGACCAGCTAGGGTGAAGCCTAGACACTTCATTGTTTAAAAGTTTATCCAGTTTTACACATGCTGATGTGTAGTCAGGGTGGAGGAGAAACAGCCTTGTTTATGCTGACCATCACACCCATCTGAGACACCATTCACACTCTCTGAGAATCAACTTGTAATTCTACAAAATGTGATACTTCCCAAGTATTGAAGTAAGTGAAACAGTGTTGTGAAAGAGCATCAAGAGTGTAAAGAGTGAGGTGCTGTCATTGTAATTATCCCACTTACACAACTATCAGTCTAATTCTAATCCTAAGCACCTTCATACAGACCTTGGAACTGGCTTTTTGAGCTGCATTCCTTGCTGCCAGTATCTCCACCCTCCAATTAATCTTCTGTACCAGGATCAGAGCAGTGTTTTTAAATCATTGTTTTGTTCAAAATCTCTTCAGCTTTTCATTTCTACCAAACAAAGCCCATGAGCTTATACCTCTTCAAGCTACTTTTCTAACCTAAGCCCATGAGCTTATACCTCTTCCAGCTACTTTTCTAACCTTACTTTCTATTTCCTAAGTATGGTCTAGGTCTTAGTCTGTTTTCTGTTGCTATAACAGAATACCTCAGAGTGGGTAAAGAAAAACGTTTATTTTGGCTCATAGTTGTGAAGACTGGAAAATCCAACGTAAGGTGACTGCCTCTGATAAGGTCCTTGTGCACCTCCACTCATGGCTGTGATAATTAACTCCAGGAGGAATTAACCCAGTCCCATAAGAGAGGCATTAATCCTTTTGCATGATCTGATCACCTTAAAGGCCCTGCTTGCCAACACTGTGAGATCAGGGACCAAATTTCAACTTGAATTTTGGAGGGGACAAACCACATCCAAATTGTAACAGTTCATAGGCATCCAACCACTAGCAGCCAGCTAGCCAGCAAACATCTGAGTTCCCACTGTATGACAGAATCATGCTCAAAGTGTGGGAAAAAAAGCAAGGATGAACCAAGAAACTGACCATCTCAAAGCTCATAGAATTGATTCGTTCTAGTTAAACATAATTGCCTAAGTCATCTGTAATTTCCCCACGTCTCTGCTCTATGCTCTCTATTGTACAGATCAGCACAATGCACATTGGTGCTTAACTAGTTCTTGAAAAAAACTTTAAAAGATGAAAGGACAAAATGCTATTACTAAATGGAAATCATCTTCCAGGTTTCTGAAAATTACAGTAGTTGGCAGGGCTGGTTTCATGGATGAGTGACTGATATGGTCATGCAGGGCTCTGCCCTCGGAGGGTCTAATGTTTGGTAAAGTGCTCCGCTGTGGAAGCAGATAACATAAAGTTTAAGAGTAGCTTTTTAATGAGCAAAGCAAATATAAAGTTGGGAAGTTAAGATGGAACTGAGTTTATGCATTAGAAAACATGTTGGGATGTCCAATTTCCCTACTAGAAACTGCTCACAAATGTGATTTTAGGTATCTAGCAGCCACAGTTAGAAGGAAGGAATGATCAGTTATAAGATGTTAACCATGATCAGTGGTTAGGAAAAAGCACAAGTATCCCTGATAGACTAGAGAGAAATTTTTCTTGTGGATCTTCACAATTGAGACATGCTAAAATGTTCTTTAGGGACATTAGGTTCCATACTGTGAACCCAGCAACAAGTGTCACAAGGCCAGTTCTCTAAATGTTTCTCAGAGCAGTGGCCACACACAATTCAGTAAAATTGCTTAGTGCAGACTTGCACATGGGGAGGGCTCTTTACATCTGTATCACATGCTTGAGTGAATGTATGAGTATGGTGGCTGGATCAGACTGGCTGGGTCAGACTAGGGAATCTGTTTAGCTCTGATGGTCTGACTTAATTTAGGGATAGAGTTTAGAGCATTTTGAACAATGGATAGATTCCATATTAAGAGAATTCTCCCAAAGAAAGGCTCTTTATAAACTGAGCATAGCAAGGCATACCAACAATCCCAGCATTTGGGAGGCTGAAGCAGGAGAGTTCAAGGTCAGCTTGGGCTACATAGTGAATGCAAATCCAGCCTCGGCTGCATAGCAAAGCATTGTCTAAAAACAAAACAAAACAAAATAACTTCTACTTGTATATCAGAGGACAGTATCAACACAATAAAAAGACACTCATAAAAATGGGAGAAAATATCTGCAAAACACATATTTGATAAGATATGTAATCCAATGTATAAAAATATTTAAGTCAAGAAGAATGAATGCCACAACAAACAACTGACTCCAAAAAAGTGCAAATGTTTTGAACAGATATTTTTCCAAAGAATATAGACTAATGGTTAATAAGCACATGAAAAGAAGTTCAAAATTGACAATCATCAGAGCAAATGAAAACCACAATGAGATACCATTTCTTATCTATTAAGATGGCTATAACTAACACACACACACACACACACACACACACACACACACGCACACACTCCAGAACAAATTACATGTATTGGTGAGGATGTGTAGAAGTTGGAATTTGTACAGTGTGGTGGGAATTTAAAATGGTATTGCTCCTGTAGAAAGCAGTATGGTAGTTCCTCAAAAATTTGAAAATCGGATTGTCATATGATCCAGCAATTCTTCGTCTGTGTGTAGAACCAAGCAAATTAAAGTATGGATTCAAATACCCATGTGCAAAGCAGCACAGTCATAAAAACCAATCATGGAAACTCAAATGTCCTTCCGTAGAAGAGTGGGCTTTTAAATGTGGCATATTAATGGGATATGATTCAGCCCTAAAATGGAAAGAAATTCTGACAGTCGCTGCAACATGGGCCCTTGAGATCATTAGTCTAAATGAAACGAGACAGATGCAAAAGGAAAAGAACTGTAGAGTTTTAGTTTATGTGAGGTAGTTAAAGAAATCAAATTCATGCATGCAGACAGTCGACTAGTGGTTTTCAGGAGCTGGGGAAAGGCGCAGGGAATTGTTTAATAGATAGAGCTCCAAGCTGGGCATGGTGGACATGCTTTAATTCCAGCACTTAAGAAGCTGAGGTAAGATGATTGCCACGAGTTTGAGGTTAGCCTGGGCTACATAATGAGCTCAAGTAGAATATATTATATATATAATATTAGATATTATAGATATTATATATACATATATAAATATATATATTATATACATACACAGAGTTTCAGTGTGAGATGACAATACAGTTCTGAGATGGATAGCAGTTGAACAATAATGTGAATATATAAGTTGGACTGTATACTTAAAATGTGACAATGATAACTTTTATGTATATTTTACCTAAATTTTATTTTTTTTTTAATTTTAAAGAATAAAAGAAGGATAACATAATAATAGGGGGGACTTAGCAAATTACAGACAAAATGGTAGGAAATTATCAATGGTTATCTACCTAAATTTTAATAAAAAGAAAAACTCAATGCTGTTTTTCTCTGTGGCTCTTTGAAACTTTTCATGCAAGTACATTTGAGGTCATGAGTTTCTAATAATCTTATATCTAAAAACATCTCTTCCTGTGGAAAATCAAAGTATATTTGTTGAAGTGGCATATCAAGATCAGTTCAACTGCAAATAGCAGAAAGCAACACAAAATGCCTTAACAAAAAGGGGATTTATTATTAACAAAGTGAGAAACAGAAGGGAAAGCAGTTTTTGAGTTGGTCCACTCCAGCAAAGTGATATCATCAGTCTTGGTTCTTTACTCCCTTCCTGTTAGTGATCTCCTTAGGAGATGCCGTCCTTGTTAGGAGATGGTCCCCACCGCTCTGACATCATATGCAGACCAGATAACAGCCGGCAACAGAAGAGCAGCTGCTACTTTGCACGTCTCTTTTTGATAGTGAAGATCTCTTTTCTAGAAAGCTTCCAGCCAACTTCCTCTCTTGTCTCATTGTCCGGAACTGGGTCACATTTTCATCCTGTACCAACCAGTGACTCAAAACACGGTGTCACCATTACTGACTGAATGACTAGTTAGGATGCTTCAAAGCACACAGGGTGGAGTGAATACCAAAACAAAAGAAGGGATTTACCACCTGGAAGAAAAACAGAATAGAATGACCAGTAGTTCATGGTTAAACCTTAAATATTCTCAGAAGTAAGACATACTAAGCAACTTACATATATATCTCTGAGTCTCAATTCCCATAGCTGTGAACTGAGAATAACAATATCCTCTCAACTGGTTGGCAGGGAAGATTAAATGAGATAAATATTTGCAACACATAGTGTACACTGACTTATACACATTATTGTATTGAACATCATCTCATTACTGACATACATAATTTATGCTTTACAAATTAGAGTTATAACTACTGTTTTTCTTCTCCAGATGTGTGAATGCCCCATTGTATGGTTATCTTCTTCAGTTACCCATTCAAATAAGCACTCAGTGAATAAACAGCACCAAGATAATAAACCACCATGGATTGTAGCATCCAATGCTTGTGAATAAGTCTTTGGATGTACGAAGTTGCTAGGGCTGTCATAACAAAGTTCCACGAGACTGAGCGACTTAAATGACCAATTTATTTTCTTTCTCTGCAGATCAGAAGTCTGAGATTAAGGTATTGGAAGGGTTGGTATCTTCTGAGGGCTATGAGGAAAGGATGTACACCAGGTATCTCTCCTTGGTTTATAGGTGGTTTGCTGTTTCCTTTGACTTTACATCATCTTCCCCTTATACTTATGTCAATCTTCCCTTCTTACATTAACATTAGTCATTTTGGATGACCCTAGTGGTCATATTTTAACTTAACTCTGTAAAGTCTCACATCTTCAACTATGGTCACATTCCACAATACTAGGTTAGAACTTTAACGTGAATTCTGGGGACACCATTCAACCTAGAACATAAAGTGTAAGGGCTTTGGATAAGAACTGATATTGGGAAGTCCATATTTCTTTAAGGCCCAGGGTAAGAAATCTTAGGTCAATCATATGTCTTTACCCTACCTACACCCACTTCCTTCCCTGACCTTTTAAGTTAAGTGGATTTGGAAATAATCCCAAATCCCACTGGCTGATCTGGAGTAACTGGGTATAGCAGATTTGTGAAGAAACAATTTAGAGATAATTTCTTAAGAGGAGCTGTAGGAAGCACGGCCCTGGAAAGGTGCATGGAAAACCCTGATTGATCACAAGTGAACAGTGACGAAGCACTTGGCTGGCATGTGCAGAGCACGAGCACTCTATTTTGCAGTGATGCGTGAGACATGGGTACATGTGGGTAGATGGAGTGAACAAAGCACAGTTCCAGGTTTTAAGATTTTACTTATGCTACAGATGTGTGGACTGCTAACTATGATGCAAAGTAGAACAGAAGTGCAAATTAAAAGAACAAATGCTGGGTCAGGAGGATGTAAAAGTGAATTTGGTTGGAGAAATCCGAGGGGTTTTTGATTGAAGAGAAAGTCAGGTGCAAGGCAGAGACGTAAATGCCTTTAGAAACTTTGAAAGTACTGGCTTTTTGGGGATTGACAATTATAAATGTAGGTTATTTAGCTGCCTAGGAAAGGTACAAAAAATTTGAGTGAGGATAAGAAAGCGTAGACTTGCTTGAAATCTTGGGGAAGAGTTTAAAATGTGACAATGATAACTTTTATGTATATTTTACCTAAATTTTAATAAAAAGAAAAACTCAATGCTATTTTTCTCTGTGGCTCTTTGAAACTTTTCATGCAAGTAAATTTGAGGTCATGAGTTTCTAATAATCTTATATCTAAAAACATTTCTTCTAAGAGTTTGTAAAATATACATAAAAGTTATCATTGTCACATTTTAAGTATACAGTCCAACTTATATATTCACATTATTGTTCAACTGTTATCCATTTCAGAACTGTTTTGTCATCTCACACTGAAACTCTTGGGGAAGATTCTTGGGGAAGATCTTGGCGAAACAATATGATGAGCCACAATGTTAGGATTAGAAATCATGTTCTGAATCTCAGCTAAAATAAGGATGGCTTGGAAGGGACTGAGAAGCATTTTAGACCAACTCAAGTGGAACTGCCTGGATGCTGTGGTCTAAGGGAGGTATCGGTGCAACAATTAAGGGGAAGTGCTTTGGGTTTAGCAGATTCAGGGCAAGGCCGCATTCAACATTAACTGGTCATAACTCAATGGGAAAGTTGCTTAAATTCTTGAGACATTAGTTTCCTCATCTATAAAGTGGAAACGCTTATACTGTTTCTAAGGTTCTTGCTAGCATGTGTGGAAATACTGCAGGTAATGGTTAGCAACACAATCTGGTAACCAGACTCAAAAAATGTTCACCAATAACACAGCAGTTATTATAGTTTATTAATTTTAGGCATGGTTGAAATCCTGAAGTTTCCACGTCCTGGAGAGGGATAATTTGTATCCTTGACAACAATCAAGTACGTGTACAGGCCAAACTTCTGCCAACATTGTTGAGGAGTTACAAAGAGTCAGAAGGAGAAAGGTTGAGAATAGTGTGGGGGTCTTTGTGTGGGGGTCTTTACTATTGCCCAGCCACTCCACCCACTGGGAAGGGAGAAAGCAATAGCAGAGGGAGGACACTAACACAAGAAAAGGGAGAGAGTATGTGGCATGTCCTCCTAGGCATTGCTCTGCTCTGGATCTCTGCAATGGTCCAATCTTTGGGCCACGTCCAGCGGTTGCCACTTTTCCTCCTGACCACTAGAGGGTGCTCTGACCAGATCCTCTACAGCAGACGGAACAGGTGAGAACAGATGGAATCCTGACTGGGTGAAGCCAGTTCTGGACCCGGATCATGCATAGGAGTTCCAGGTCTGCTTTGGTAAATTGCAGATTAGGAAGAGAGTGCAGAAGACTGAGTCCTGCAGGGACTACATTTAGCCAGCTTCTGCGGACCAGGCAAGGAAGGCAATGGGCTCACATCTGGATCCTAAAAAACGGTGGTGGGACCTCCTGATTCTTTTTTTCTTTTTACCCTGTCTCAATGCAGTACCACTCCACTCTTATGGCAGCTGGGGAGGCAGATGTAGCAGACAAATAAAGGGAGGAGCCATATGGATGTCCGTAACCTGACTGGTGATAGAAAGGATCAAGGAGAAAGGCGGAAACACCTAGGTGAATAGAAAGTAGAGTATACACAGAAGGGAGGACACTAGGACAGATGATAAATATGGGGAACAGTGGGGTGAGAGGGGAGCTATACATTGCAACCCTTCCCTGGCTGATCACATATGGTCATTCTGCTGGTCATTCCGTTAAGTATGAGAACAGTGTCTCACATTGATTGTACCAGGAAAGGAGTTCAGCTGATGATGACTTCCTTCTACCATACATTCAGCAAAGAGAGCAGAAATTATTGGTGGAAATAAGGGTTTTATTCAACCTCAAACTACCCAAACAGAAGAAAATAGCTAATACTGCTGAGAAGACTGTGCAGAAGACCTGTATATCATAGGCTAAGCTGGCATTTAGTCAAGATATATAATGTCCATATGGGTTGTGTATGGTCAGCATTCAAACTGATGTGCAGACCTTTGATTATGATCACATAATTCTGCCCAGCTGCTTTGGAATGTGTGCTGTGTATATCAAAGATGAGGTTAGAAACGCTTTGTTCAATGCATCACTATTTTTCAAAAAGCAATCCAAGGTGTAGTTTCTATCAAAACCCTTTGTGGTTGCTAAACTACTTCAGTATTTTGTTCCAGATGAGGTTTCATTGTCCTTAAAGAGCACTGGCTTCTAAATACTGTGGGCGCATAACAGGCAATACACCAAAAGTAGTACCTCTCTCACTCAGGACACCATACCAAAACAATAAGTCTGGGGCTGGGGATTTAGCTCAGCGGCAAAGCGCCTGCCTGGCAAGCGCAAAGTCGTGAGTTCGGTTCCCGGTACCAGAGAAAAAAACAAAAACAAAACAAAACAAAACAATAAGTCTGTTGGGACTGCCTTATGCAAAGCCCCAAAATAAAAATCAGTTTTGACACGTGTACTATGTTTAGCAGTCATTATTAGTAAATCCTCTTGGCTCATGTATGCTTTGAGACCTTTTAAATTTTTTTTCAGAATATATATAGTTTAAAATGGTTAACATTACCAACAGGAAAAGTAAATTTGTAGCTCAATTTGGTTTAAATATCTATTAGGAGGAATGACAATGTGGTTAAAGACCTTTCTTTGTCTTTTCACTTGCAGCCTGCAAAAGCTCTCTAAACATGGGGTCCCATTTTAATGTGTTTAAACAATTTTATTGAGGTATCATTTACATACCATAAAACCCACTTGTTTTAAGTGTAGAATTTCTCAACTTTTAGTAGATTTACTGGGTTGTACAATTATCACTATAAATCAGTTTCACGACGCACTTTGAGCATGTAAAATCAAATACATTGAGCAGAAAGCTCACCCTCACCCTCAGCACTGAATGGGTTTGCTCGTTTCTCTCACTTCCTCGCCCTGTTTCCCTTCTTGCCTCCCACCCTTCTCTCCACTCTTTCTTGCTGAGCGCTGAAGACACAGGTTGAAAGATGATCCTTGCCCTTAAAGAGCAGGAAGACAGTCACAAAAGCTACAGAAGAGATCACCACATTCTTTTGTGAAAATGTCATCCCTGATAGAAGGACTGCCCTGGATATTATGGGGTCACACTTATCTCAGCCCCACCCCAGGTTCTGAGATTTAAGAGCTCAGCGCAATAAACATTTATTGGGTATCTGCACTCCACGTTGTGCATACAAAGATGAACTCATCTCTGCCCAGATGTAAGCAGCTTTGTAGCAGCCTCAGGTGATTCAGCATCCATCAATGTTATGGGTCTGACTGACCTTGTGACCCAGTTCCAGTGTCTCAATCTTTACCTGTAGCCACGGGCAAACCTCCGCTGGTATGGTCTCTGATAACAGGAATGGTCTTTTCTTATTTCCTGGCAGTTTGTGGCACCTCCTTTGCTTCGGGTCTGACCCCCCCAAAACATCTCATCAGGGCCCTTGCTGGCCACTCACCTAAAATACCCCCATAGACTTCATTACCTTCCCCTCTACTTTATTTTCTCTTTTAAGTACTTCACTGTCCAACACACAATTTATTTTATGCACTCACTACCTCCTGTGCTATCTGTGCATTCCATTAGAAGGTAAGTTCTGTGAGTGCGGGAATTTGGGTGGTTTCTTCTCTGTCCTATCCCAGTCAGAACACATTCTAAACTCCATTGATACTGGTTGTAGGAATTCATGAATATTTGGAGCTTTATCTTGGTCTCCAGTGCTGGGGACCCCTGCTCATAACTAGTTCTTCCAGATCTAGGAGGCTGCCTTGATTCTCTCTCCCATACAGCGGTGGTGCCTCAGTCTTGAGGGTGATGGCCGCTTTTCTGACCACATTTGCCAGCTTACAGCTCTGAAGATAGCCTGGTCCCAGCTGCCTTGTTCTGGAACTTTCTCCCTGAAGAATCTGTTGCAACATGTTCTAGCCTGTTCTTCCCCTGACTCAAACTGTTGCTGCCTGTCTGGCCTCCAAAGAATCTTAAGAACTGGCCCATCCTGGTCTGCCCCAGTTAATTAACCTTCTCTGTGTGACAGCTTTACAAGACAGGACAGAAGGCAGAACACCCATGATGCTCTGTGAATTAAAATACCAGTCAGTGGAAATGAATAAGAATGGAAGCCTTTACCCTACACATGCTGAATGCTTGCATTCCACCTCCCAACCCACTAAGAATTGCCTTAAAAACTGTTGAAAAAAAGAGTTGAAATATTTTGTAATCATTATTGAACCCTGAAATTAGCTTCTTAAAAGCAATCTTGAAAATCACTCATATAATCGTAGTATTTCTAGGCTGAACTTTTTGGTTAAATTTTGGTATGTTATGACTCTCCTTCCTCGTTCCATGCTCCTGGTCAACATCTGAGTTGTCCAATGCCCTCATTAACTTCCCATTCAATTTTTTTTTCTGCCCTAAACATGAGGCCTAAAAATGAGTCCTTACAAACTTACCTTAGGCTTCTAAGACGTGCATACAGCCTTCACGGCTCTCTCATTCGCAGTAGAGGTTATCTCTTGGTGGGAGGAGGACAAGCATCTGTCAGGTGCCTGTAAAAGGTAATGCTTTAACAGGGATCCCACAGAGCACTAAACCCTTCAAGTCTGATCTGTCTCCGTGTGGTGATTTTGTGCATTTGCTTAATAAAAACCCATTGGGAAACATCATCAACAGGTGGAAAGGGCCAGCTGAGAGCACTGGGAATTTTAGAAGCTGGCAGGGAACTAGAAACCCAAAGCAAAGAGCTTCCTTGGCTAGAGGAGGGGAAGCACGGGACCCACGACCTCAGCACAGCCCTCTTCCCTCTGCTGGGATGCGGCTGCCTGCTTAGGGGTAAGGAGGGATCGTTCGGCAGAACCCTGCGGCTGGGTGTGAGACGAGAACCCAGGAAAACTGGCAGGTTTAACTTAGCCAGAGTCAGAGTTTTAGGGTTTTGTTTTGTTTTTGTAAGGAAATCGTTTTAAAAGACACCAGAAAGCACGGAAACCATCCTCCAGTAGACACTTTCCTCCTCCATCCCCTATTATAGTAACCAAAGAAGCAGACCTCATTTTTAAATTTTCTTAAGTGGGGAAGCCTTCTAGGCGTGCCCCTAAGGCGGGGGTTAGGTTTTGTTTTGTTTTTGCTAGAATCGAATCCAAGGCCTTTAAGCGCTTTACCACTGAGTACACTTCCAGCTCGTAAGTCAGGTTATCAGGTGAATCACAGGGTGGGTCCCGAGGTCTCAGCGGTTCTTGAAATCCCCAGGACCGGCAAGTTTCCGCTCCCTCCCTTGGGGGGTGCAGGCATGCAGTCGCCCAATCGGGCCTCTTTGGATGCCTCTTCCCTTTCGGAGAAGCAGATCCCGTCCCGACCCGACCACGAAAACTTTTAGGGATAGCCAAAAAGTCTGTGCAGCGTCACGGACCTGGTCTCTCCCCCATCTCTAGCCCACCTCCTCCGCCTCTTTTCGCACCTGGTTCCGGCTCGGGTCCCGCTCGCGACTGGTGCTTAAAGAGAACAGCGAGGTGCTGGTGTGGGGTTGGCCCTTGGGGGCGAGGCCGAAGGGGCGCGCGAGGCAGGGGTCAGCCTCTCACCCCGGGAGGGCGGACGGACAGAGACCCGCGCGACCAGTGGAGAGGCTGGGCTGGGGAACCGAGGGGAGGAGAGGAGTGGGCGCAGAGGGGGTGGAGCCGCCGGAGAGGGGCGGTGTCGCGCGAGCCGAGCCCGGCCTCCCACCCCCACCCGCTCGGTGCCTTAGTCTCGGCGGTGACACAAAAAGCTCCCGCGCGGTGCCGAGCGCCTGGCGGCGGTGTCCGACCGGGGACGCGGAGGGCAGCGGCAGGTGGGGCGGCCGCCCAGAGGGCCGGGCGGGAGCTGGGCTGCAGGCGCCGCCCCGCAGCCGGGCGGGAGGAGCGGGCGGCCGCCGGCCCGCGGTGCGCGTGGGGCTGAAAGGGGCGGGCGCCCGGGACCCCCGGCGATGCTGCCGCCGCCGCGCGCTTAGCGAGCGCCCGAGCCGGCTGCGGAGGAAGGTCAGTGACTTTCGGTTTGTTGCCTTGCTCTGCACCCTCCCGGGTCGCGCGCGGAGGGAAGGGTGCAAACGGATGCGTGCGCCCTCGCGACGCCTGCATCCAGGGAAGTGGGGAAGGGCACTGCCGCCCGCTGTATTTGGAGGGGCACCCTGTGGACAGTGGGTGGGGTGACGGGGCCGCGGGAGCCCGGGGAAGGCAGCGCGGGCCCGGCGGGCCGCCGGGGAGGTGGTCCCGGGAGTTGCGTTCTCCCGAGCTCTGGCAGAGTTGGGCGCGCGGCTGGGGCGGGGGAGCGACGCTGCCGGAGGCTCCGCCGAGTCCTCGGATGCCCCCTGGAGCTCCGGCCGGAGGGAGCCGCCTCGTGCCCGCGCCGCGCGCGCCCCAGCTGCGCCCAGAGTCCGCACACGCCCCCCGGGGTCCCGTCTTAGTCCCCTAGTCGGGCACCTTCCCAAAGTTGCCCTGGATCCCTCCTGGGAAAAGAGGGCGCAGTGGCCTTGGGGTCTTTGTGCGCACTCGCGCGCCTGGGCGTTTGCTGCTGGAAGGACAGCTGCAGGACAAAGCAGGCTGGACTCTAGGGCGCTGCTTGGTCAGCGGCGGTCCCCGATACAGCCTGTGGTGGGGGTGTGGTGGGGGGAGCGTTGAGCGGTTTTAGAAGTAGGGAAATAGCCAAAACACAGTGACAGCGACTTGATGAGGTGGCGGACAGGAGCAAAAGATGCTCCTGAATGCTGCGCTACTGTGTCTGTCTGGGCGGGTGGCCAGGCGCCCCGCTTTCCCCTTTAACCGGGTTTACCTAGTGTATTTTGCTAGCGCTATCTTTGCCCCGGGGTAGTATCCTCCACCCTCTCCGATTCCTTTCTGAGGGATTACTGTTGCTACCGTAGTAGAGGCTTTGGCTTTGCCAGTGGAGAATTTAGGGGCGGGGGAGACTGCGGAGGAGGCGGGATGTGGTTATTTAACCTAGAGAAACAATTAGTCGCTTCGCCCTTTCCTTGCCCCGCCAGCCCATCACACCTCCGCCCTTTCCTCCCAGTGCGCCCACCCCGGCCCGCTGGTCTGGGAGGGTGCTTGGATTTCTTTTTGTGCTGTGCGCAACTAACCCTTTCTGCATGTATCCACTGCAGGCTGAACAAGCTCAGTCTCAAATGTGCTTCCTGCTTGTCAGCCTCTTGCTTCGCAAACGCTTGCCATTTCCACTTGATGTCATCATGCAGAAGGGGGTGAAAGGGACTCGATGACAGATTCAGGTAACCCCCGATGATCTGGGTAGCCGCCTGGGTGTCTCTGGGTCATCTGGGCCCACAGTGCTGGGGCTGCTTGCGTGGTTTTGCATCAGCGTTACTGCCATCTGTGTGAATGAGTGGGGGCTACTGAAACCCCTGCTTCGAGAAGAAATTGCAAATGACTTCAAACCTTCCTTTTGAAGAATTCATTTGGGCCAGGGTGTGGGTATCGGGGTTAGTATAAATTACCCGTGATTGATGGGAGTAATGAACCGATCAGTACATGGGCAGTTGTACGTGAATGTGGGGATTGGATATAAGACAGCATTCTTACCTATGCTAATGTGTGTGGACTTCAGTCGATAGCTAGGGTATCATTTGTTGAAAAGCTATCATGGTAAGGCTGCTATTGCAAGGCTGACTATAACTATGACCCGCGCTCAATTAAGACATTGGTCAAATACATTGACCTTCTTATGAAATAATATTTCCTCCCATTCCTTCGCTGTAATAGCGTTTACACTATCAAGAAAGCCGGGTTTGCAGTAAGTTACTGGGAGTTGGCAGGGAGCTCTGTTAGGAGAGCAGAAAGAAAACAGGAAAAGAAGCTTTAGTTAAGTTTCCATTTAGATAGCCATGAACCACTAGACTCATTCTGCGTTTTATCTTTCGGTTGTTTGTTCTTTAAAAAACAAAACAAAACAACCTCTTGCCTGTTCTTTCCTTCCCAAGGATAGTTTTGACGTTGACCTAAACAGATCTTGGGTTATCTTGAGAGCGTGCAATGAAAATGTAACCTTCAGACCTCCCAGGACACCTTGGCATTGGCACTGTCTCCTAGAGGGCAGAGCCCTGCGCATCCTACACAAGTAGCAGGGAATGAGAATGGTTATGGAAATGGACTCTGGTTTTTCTTACAGGAAGACAGATTGCTGAGGGCCAAAGGTGACTGGAGCTCTCCTTTGCACTGCAGCAGCAGCAGGAGCAGCAGCAGCAGCACAGTACAGCAAATGGCAAATTCCCTGTGCCATTTCCCCCACCAAGTGTCTTGAAAAACAAAGTTTAAAACTTAAGCGATTTGTTATTCACTTCTGGGGTAGTTTTATTTTGAAAGGTGACTTTAAAAACGGAAGTGACTCTAGCATTGATCCTTCCACTGAAAGCACTCAGGAACCACTGGGAGAAGCAGGTGAGTGCTCAGGTCCCCGCTGAGACAAAGGCCGGTGCTTTGGAAAGATGAGATTAGTGACATGGTGCTAGGATAGAGGTATTTTGACAACTGATTTTTATGTCAGCAATAATGCTGGGTGTGTACTGTTTTGCTGCAAGAAGAAAGCCCACGTGATGGGATCATAGGGACTGCAATAATGCAATAGAAACAAGGGTGTGGTTTTTTTCAAACAGAAAAAATAAATACCTCACACACAAAATTCCACATGGGAAAACAGCTGCCCGCACATGTAAATGCACGTCCAAGAACAAAGATAGCCACAGTGCAGTGTTAGCTTTCATTGTGGTTTCAAACTGTGTACCGTGGTAAGTCATAATAGAAGTGTTGTATTGAGGCCTAATTTATTTTATTTGGGAAGGAGGCTTCCCACTGCCAGATGTCTGCAGCAGTATGTTTAGGTTTAGGTTGGATGAGCACTGGAGGTATTAGACCGACCTTTGGATCCAGTGCTTTTCCGCACTGTGCATTCACTCATTCATTCAGCAGATGTTTATCGGGCACCTGAGAGCTAATGGGCCCTGTGAGAGGTGCCAGGAGATGAGGGTACGGGTGGAGATACAAAACTGTATCACCTTCAGAGATTTATAGACACGGAGAAAGGGAGAGCTGCTCAGAATGCAGTTCAGCGAAAGCTTCAGAGAGATGAATGGGGCTGGACTTCTGAGGGTGGAGAATGCTCATCCGACGTCTCCTGGAATGCCTCTTCCGGTGGGGAGCTCTTTACTCCCTCAGTGGCTGGGCCTGTAATCAGGTGTCCTTTTCTTTACTGCCTTTGAACTCTTCAGCTGAATTCCATGAGAACGGTCAGTTCCACCCTTGTTGGGAGGTCATTCTCTTTCTCTTTTTGTCTATGGCGTCAGCACCTCCTGCTTTTCAAAGTGTGCGTGGTTCAGTCCCTGTTGTACTCAAGTTTTCAAACAAACTGTGTTTCTCTGTATTATCTGATTTAGAAAATAGATTGGGGTAGGGGCTTTTACATATTTCTCTCATCTTCTTTAGATAGAGGTGTATTATCAGGAGAGGTCCGGTTATGCTGCAGTAACAACTATGTCCACCTCTCAGTGCTAAATGTAGTTTCTTTCCCAGGTTGTGTGTCCAGTGTGGAATAGGTGGGCCCTGCTCATTGTAGTCACTCAAGGACCTGAATTGATGGAGGCATGATTGCACCTGGGCATCAGCCATTTCTGCAGCACTAGAAAGGAAATGCTGTGGGGTGTCACTCTAGTAATTGTGGGATTCCATCCAAAAGTAAGTTACGTGGCTCCATCCCAAAACCGGTCATATGACCACAGTTAGCCACAATTCAATATTTCTTGTATACATACAGGTAAGCAGCACTAGGGAGTTCCACAGTGATCTGGCCCTGAAAAGGTTCTAAAGTGTGTCTGACAGGTCCTGGCTTGGTGATTGGAAGTTTTGGGTGTTCTACAAGTATTGATTAAATGAATGAATGACAAAGACATTAAAAATTTGGTCCTATACCAACCTGTAATTTACCAATATGTTAATATGATATTTACTAGCATGATTGTGTATTGGTCATCAAATAAAGACAGCTACAACTTTTTGCCTGTTTTGTCTGTTTTGAGTACTGGTTTCTCTGAAGCAATGGACAGGTAGGTATTTCCAGGACCAGTGCTAGGAGTTGCATGGCCAGCATTATGTACCAGAGAGACGTAGCTTACAGACTTTTTCTCCTTTACCGTGTGCTTCTTGTCTTAGACTTCCTGTGTTTGTTTCTAACAACTCATTGTAGAAGAAGAGTGGCAGATGGGGCTAGAGCTAAGCTGGGGATGACGGTGCAACAGCCAAAACTAGACAGAGCGGAAATAGGTTTAGGGTAATGGTAGGTCACCTTCTTGTTACCTAAAAGAAGCAATTTGGACAAGAAGCTTCTTCTGCATAGGACTAATAGCACACCAGAGAGGTCTAAGACATTCATTCTGCCATCAGCTACCAGGTTGGCTGTGAAGGTGGTAAGTTTTAAATGCTTCTTTGCCAACTGCCTGAGGACTGGAGGCCGTGGAATAGGTGTTGCTAGCAGGTGTGGGCCAAGCAGTGGGCAACTTCTAGAGAGATATCACTTTGAAGAGAACTTTATTTGCATTAAGATAACTGCATGCATAGATTAGAATTTTAAAGTTTTGATAAATACTGTAAGCATAAACGTGGAATTTAACAAAATTGCTTCTGGCTCAGTAACTGCCTTGGCAAAAATAATTTTTATAACTACCTCTCTATATATAGAAATGACACATAAAGTAAGTTAGTCTCCAAGTCACAGTGATTGCAGGGACAGTGATTGTTAGCCTAACTAAAAGGCATTTTCTGGTCCAGGTTTATTTGAGGGGTAAGATATTGCACCCAGTGGGTTTCTGATTTTAGACATAAGCAGCTTGGGGAAGCAGACAGACAGCATCCAAACCAGTTCAAGGCCCAGAGTTGGGCCGAGAGTGAGCACAGACTGAGCCAGAAAGAAAAGGAAATCCTGAAGGGCCAGGCTTAAAGTATATTTGGGAAGCTTCAAAATACGTTTATGTATTTTGTGTAGCTTCTGAGTCTTCATCTCAGGAATGTCAGGCTAACGCTGGCTGTTCAGGTAGAGGACATTTGTGGCCTAAATGTGCTCTCCCTGGCACTGCCTGTCACACTGTCACAGAAGCTAGAAACAAGGAAGGCAGTGGTTTTCCCGCTCCTTATTGTAGCTTCTCCAGTTATACTGGAAATCACAGGTCGGATAAAGTAAATCCTTGTTTTATGTTTCCGAGTTTTTCTATTTTTAATTGATCCACTGTCATTGTAGGATTTAAAGAGAGGCCTCTGGCAGGGTGTACATGACCTGCATTTCCCTTGGATGATCTTTGTGGTCCCTGGTTTCCTGGCCTAGACCACAATGGAAGCAGAGGTGTAGGTAGCATGTTCTTTCTTGGCTGTGGAGGCCACTTGTGATCTACTGGGAGTGGGAGGAACAATTTGGAAAACATGCCTTATTTACCACTTGACATATTGATTCCTACATAAATAAAAGCACAAATAAGTTTATGCTTTATCTGCATGATAAAATTTACTGTTTTTAAAAAATTATTTTTTTCACTATCTCTGCAGCATATAACATATCTTAATTCCCATTGTATCCCCTTCCCTTTCTCAGCCTCCATCTCTTTCTCATCTTCTCATCTGCAGAAGGTCTATTACCCAGTTACCTATTAGCTGTCTTTTATTTCTCTCTTCAATTTATTTATACTTTGGGTTTCTCTTTTTATACTAGTGTAGCAGAATGAACACAGGGCCTTACTCCTGCTAGTCAAACACTGTTCCACTGAGCTACATCTCTAGCCCTGAAAACTCACTCTAACATCACACAGGCTTCCTGGGGTATCAGACCTTCAAGCAGAGAAGGGTTGATCAAATGAAGATGCGCCACTGTAGGGGCAAAGTAGTGGCAAAGCATAATCTACAGATAGTGTGTTTGTATTTATGTTTTCTCTTTCGATGTCTCTCCCATCTCATTCCTACCTACCAAGAAAATACAACTTTTCTGGCTCATCGATAAAACCACACTCACTGATAATCACACTTCCCGTTGTGGTTAGAGAAGAATTGATGAGAGTTCCGTAACAGCTTTGATAGATTGTGGAAATAGGGAGCTTTATTGTTATCAGTTCTTAATAATAATCCACACATTCACTTTAATTTCCATTCCCACTGTTATATCCTAGCTAAGAACCTTATTTATCCCTGGGCTGTTACCCTGGGCACCTTCACTTCCTGACTCTTGGCACCTCCACTATCTCCTGTTCTTTTAGGCTACAGGCTGTTTTAACTGACGTCCTCTCCCTAGTTAACCTTTGGTGGATCAACCCTGGTTTTTGTTTGTTTGTTTTTGTGTTTTGTGGGAGGAGACTTATATCCCTTAGTCTTTTTTTTAGAGTTTTCCCCAGTGTGACCCCAAACTTCTTTCCCAATCTTGACTTTTATCCTGCTTGACTTTTAGTCTCCATATTACTTAGGAAAGTTAATCTGCTGTCCATTCAAAATGCTTTGCATGGCCTCATTCTTAGTTCGAGCACATTCTGTGACCTAAAATCCTGCCTTCTCTTCTATCGTTACAGGCTCTTAAGTCTTCTAAACCACTTAGGATCATGCTGGCCCTTAGCAATCCCTTACTACTTCACTATTCTCTGCTAAAATTGCCTTCATCTCTTCTCATGATCACAGTTTCTCCCCAGCCAGGTAAGTATCCCATCTCGTTTCATTCAACATTCTTTCATTTATTCATATTCATTCATTCATTTTACAAAGAGCATGTATATTATCACCTAAGATTGAAAGGTCTTTTTTTATGATTAACTGCAAAGAACAGAAACTCAAGCTAGTTTCCAGAAGAGGAGCTGTATTGAAAAGACATCCTAGGACATCTTCTGTTGTCAAGCCACAGAGTCTGTTATCAGCCTAGAGTCTGAATGTACGGGACTCCTCAACCGTTGCTCATCCTGGACATGAGCACTGGGGTAGGGGGTTGCAGTTCGACCCCACAGGTCCTGTGGCCACAGATGTAGCAACTGAAGTGCAGGATCTCATTTTCCTTGAAAGCTCCTTCTAGATGAGGACAGGGTGAGGTTTGACCCCATTTTGTACTGCTATCATGTTGATGTATATAGGAAAGATACAGTAATCACTGATGAATCTTTGACAACAGAAAATGTTCTTGAGCTACTGTGCTAGAAGAATTAAGACACTGTTGGCCTATAACCTTAAAAAAAGTTAACACAGAAACTTTAAGAGCCTCCTCTGCATTAATAATGACTCGATGTTGGCTCAAAGTTGGATTAGCCGAATATACTGTGCCTACCAGTTCAACGGTTGGGAGGTAAGTCTTCTAACCGAATGTCATTCTAACAAAATGGGTTGTTATTAGTAGGCTGTTTTTCAGCTTCTTTTTGCTGCTAGTTTAAAAACAAGCAAAGTGAAAAAGAAAAGCCTTGTTTGTTGACGTAGAGCAACGAGCATTAGGACTTCCCATAACACTAAACACCAAACCACCTCACAGTTCTAATGGAGCGAGCTGTGATAAATGTTTGACATGGCTGGGTGACAGTTGGTGCAACTGACTGTCACATCCCACCCACAGTTACCTTGTGGGCATAAATACCTTTGTGAGTCACATCTGTGCCGTCTTGATTTTGGAATACTCATTCACATGGTAGAGACTCTTTGACACTCGGAAAGCTTGATCATTGTGGAGAGTGTCATTCTGAAAGAGGGGAATGGATTCAGCTGCGTGGAAACATGGCCAGGGATGTATTAATGCCTAAAATATCCTCAGTTTGAATCATAGCGAATGGAGCTGAGATAAACATCTCAAAAACAGTCTTTGGCGTGATATCCTTCTGCAGTTGTTGCCTTGGGGTAGGTTTGCAGATTGCTTCCTTAATAACACGAGATCAAAGTGTTTGAAGAGCACCACACAGAAATGGTTGCCCCTTTGTTGCATGGGGCATAAGGATTGCTGCTGTTTTAAGTGAGTAGTAGGTAATTCACCCATACAGGAGAGAGTTAGTCTACACTGGGGTGAGAGCCCCTCCTTCCACTCCTGCTGTGTGACACCGACACTGCAGAAACCTGAGGTAAGGATCCATCCAGTCACCCACTGTAGTGGGGAAAAGTGCTTTAGAAACAGTGTCAATGAAGAAAGCACTTGTGTTTATGACACTGATTCAAATATTGAGTGCCTGTTCTTTGCCAGGCACAACTGTAGCAGAAGTCTCTATCATGCTCTAGCTGAATGAGCGTGCCTAACTCATCACTGAGTTTTATTTTTTTGTACTGGCCAATCTAAAGTGGGAAAGAATAAAAGAAATGTGTCTAAAACTTTTCTCTCAATTCTTGATTCCTTAATATATGTCTTACTGGGTCCTAATTCAATCGAGTGGTGAAAAAGGTTGCACTTTAACAGTGAGGTGGTGTTGGGTTTCTTCCTCTGCTCTGCCATTGACTGAGTAAATAATCACTGAGCGTTGGTTTCTTCGGCTGTAAAATGAGGGAGAATCAGCTTCCCTGAGTGGTCATGAGAATAAGAGCAATAATTTATACACCGTGCTTTGCGTGTCACCCACATATCATAAGCACTAAATAAAGGTCAGCTGGGTATTAATGCTTGTATTTGGCATTGTCTGTCCACAGTCACTGTGCTCTGTTGTGGAAATAACAGTTTGAATAGGCCTGGTCTAACCTGAAGCAGCCCTTAAGCTAGCTAAAAAGATAACTGCCTCTAAATAATGATAGCCCTTGGGGTTTATTTTTTTTTCTGGTACCAGGAATCGAACTTATGTCGCCCTTGCCAGGCAGGCACTGTGCCACTGAGTTAAATCCCCAGCCCTGATAGCCCTTGTTTATAGGAGGATTTCTTTTGTACTTCATGGTTGCTGAAGCCTTCTCATTGGAAATCTTCCTGAAACTTTGCTTAAACAGTTTGGAGTTTAAAATGATAAGCCTTCTAGGAGGAAGCTGGAGATAGCAGTGTGAGAAAACTCTGAAAAAGCCAGCAGGTAATCTGCACCTGATTTTATTTTTTTAACTTTTTGTCCCTTTAAGATAGGGTTTCACTATGCAGTTCAAGCTAGCCTTCAATTCACGGTGATCCTCCTGCCTCAGCCTCCTGAGTGCTGGGATTACAGGTGTGTGCTAACCCATCCTGGCTTTTGAACCTAACTTGAAAGATCCCAAATGCCTTATTCCTATGGCTCACCCTTCCCAGGCCAAGTGTAGGATGTGCGGTAGTGGACCCCCCTTTCCTGGGGTCTGGTTTCTTGGGGGTAGGGTGATCGATCCCCAGATCATCCCATGATCAAAGAAATACCAAGGTCATGGAATTTTCTATTTTAAAGTTGCATCAGTTCCAGGAACACTGGCCACCCTACTTAAGGGTCCTGTCTTGTCTTGTGATCATCGTTCAGTATCCTGAGGTGGCCTTGTTCACGTCTGACATCATGTCCAAAGCTCCAGGCATCAAAGACGAGCCAGGAGGGATGGGATAAGGATAAGAAAAAGAGGACAGGCTAGCACAGCCTGATTTGGTCAGTCCTTTGCTTTATGATCTGTAGGTTAGAGTGGACTTTTTTTTTAACCATTACTATGTTTTAAGAAAATTTTAAATACAGGCAAAGAAAGTGGGCTACGTAATAAACATATAAGTGCACAATGTACTGTGAAATTAATGAGATGTTTTAGAAGTTCCACTTATATATTCATAATTGCTGTGCTTGTCAGGGTTCTTGGCACACAGTAGGCATTCAGTGAAGACTTGTTGGTATTTATTCTTCAGAAGTAATTTTTTTTGTTTTTGTTTTTTGAGACAGGGTCTCACTATGCAGTTCAGGCTGGCCTTGAGCTCACTTTGTAGTCCAGGCTGGTCTCGAAATTGCAACGATCCTCCTGCCTCTGCCTCCCGAGTGCTGGGATTACAGGCGTGTGCCACCACGCCTGGCTAGGAGTATTTTTTTTTTCCCAGTACTTGGGATTGAACCCAGGGCTTTCATTCTGGCCCACATTTCCAACACTTTTTTTGAGACCGTCTCACTGAGTCTTGCGCTTAGGCAGAACTTGCTATCCTCCTGCCTCAGTTTCCCAGAGTGCTAGGATTAAAGACATGCACCAGTACAGTGGCTCAAAAGTAATGCTGAAGGCTGCTGCCCAGGGAAGCTGGAGGGGCCTCTGGGACCTGTGTGCCAGTTTTGCTTGGGGTGCAGATTTTTTTTTTTTTTTTGAGGCAGGGTCTTTCTCTGTAGTTCAGGCTAGACTTGGACTTACTATGTAGCTCAGGTTGGACTTAAACTTCAGCAATTCTCCTGCCTCAGCCTCCTAAGTACAAGATTACAAGCATGCACTACCATGCCCAGGTAGTGATTTTTATTTTTGAAGCGTTGTTGATTACTCTCTGGTAGGAACCAGTCTGTGCTTTCTCTCTATAGGCTCTTCCGTAGTTAATTTGAGGGGCTGGGGATTTAGTGCAGTGGCACAGCGCCTGACCGGCAAGCACAAAGTCATGAGTTCAATCCTCAGTACTGGGAAAAAAAAAAAAAAAAGAATGTCCATAGTTAATTTGAAGATGCATACATCCAAATACACTTTGGGTTTCTTGTTGCACTGATATCTGGAGTGCATTCATGTATGAACTTGTGTTTTTTTTTTTTTTCTTCTTGGCACCATGTGAGGCTTGCAGATGAGCTGCCTTGTCTTTCGTTTGCAGCCAGGATGCTTCTGGAGCCCACTGATGTTATGAGCATGGCAGGAGTGTGGCCTAGCCTGAAGGTACTGTGGACATAGCATGTTGGGCTTTCTTCCCAACCTTCCAGAGGGATTTTGTGATGCATCTAATACCAACTGGAGATAGGAAGGGAGTCAGGCTTGGCTCTATACTGTAGCAGAGGTGTTGGACTGATGAAAGCTGATAAGGCCTTCGACAAGCCATAGATTCTCCTAGTATTGTGCGAATGCCTCAAATGTTCTCCTTTGTGTTCCTTTTCTCTTGGGGAAGTTTAACTGGTTAGCTCTAAGATTGGCAGGTTCTTGCCAGCAGAACCTGCAGCAAATTGCCAGCAACAATAATTAGTTTGGTGGTTGCCAGCTCTGTAACTCATGCTCATAGCATGTGAAGGCAACTGTGAGACGCTTATGTCATCCTTTCCTGTGTAATCATCGTGCACACTGAGACACCATGTTCACTATTTTGCTGATGAGCTGGATGTCTTCAGTCTATTACTTCACCTCAAAGAGAGGTAAATAGCTGCCCTGTAGAAGAGGCAAACAGAATGCATTGAATAAATTGCTTTTATTTCTATACACAGAATACTGTATTAGTTTGAAGAGTTAGCATTTCTGTGCAGTCAGTGGTTTCCTTTTTCTACCAACGATAGATCTATTAAAATTGTTCACATACCCTTGGGCTTATAACAAAATAATAAATAAGGTATTTGAGAATCGCATCTCAACCCTGTCACCCTGCTCTACAGCTTATTTGTTAATTTCTGAGGAAAAATGTCTTCACTAAAACGGGAGAAAGAGTATCGGGTTTCAGAACCCGTTTTCACCTTATTTGTGGAGCCTGTCAACAGAGATGCTAATCCCTCTCTTTACTGTGCTTCTTAGAATGACATTCCTTTGAGGCTGAGTCTCGTCAGCAGTGGAAATTGAAAAAGAGATGCTGTCCAGACGACTTAGAATTCCTTGTAAAT